TTTGGCCTTAATGAATGTTATTTTAGGGCCTTTCTGGACTGTTTTTAGGCCTGAATTGTCTACTTTTTTCTGGGCCTTTCAAAGCCTAATTTTTTACTATTTTTGGGCCCATTTTTCCCTGTTTTAGGCCTCGACACAGCCTATTTTTGGGCCTTTTTTTGAAGCTTCTTTTACCGATATTTCGACCCATTTTTTTTCATTTTTAGGCCTCGCCTTTTTCGTCATTTTCAGGGCTTTTTTAGTCCGGCCTAGATTTCTGGCCTTTTTAAGCTTCAAAGACACGCCAGCTGGTGGGTTTCAACCTCGAATTTCAGGAAAATTGCCTAAAAATTCCCGATTTTCACATTTTTTTCAGGCTTAAAAACGGCCGAAAAAATCTCCGAAAATTCCTGAAAATCATGCTATGAAAATCTGCAATTTTTAGATTTTCAGAGCATTTTTCTAGAATTTCTCCGCTTAAACGCGTGAAAGGTACGCCAGTCGGAAAAACTTGAAAATTGTGAATTTCAGCTAATTTTCCAGAAAATTCTAGCTTGAAAACCATCAGCTGAAAATTCCACATATTCAATGGGAAAATGATCGAAAATGCATTTAAAATCTGGAAATTTTCCAGATTTTCAGCCAATTTTCAGACCTTACCTGATCAGTGTAGCTCCAATACTTCGAGTGATAATTACGATTCTTCTTATCAATCTTTCCTCTACCTCCCCCAGTCGAAATACGTCTAGTCAAAGACGACGACGTGGCTCCTCCTCTCGAGAAGTCTCCAGACGCAGCAAGCGTGACGTCAGCCGGTGGTGGTGTATTCAGAATCAATGCCCCAGATGACGCTGCTGGTGGCAACTGAACAATCTCCGACGGATCCTCGATGACTATCTCTCGTTCCACTTTGATAATCGGTCCAGAATAATTCAGATTCTCACGAGGAGTAGCACCCGGAGCTTCTGGGTACGGAGGAGTTGTGGAGCCAAGACGAGAGACGGCGTCTGTGCTGGATGAGTTGTCATTGGAGAGTACGGTGGAATCGAAGGATGAGCAATCGGTTGTGGAGCTGCTGGTGCTGCTGGTGCTGGTGGAGCACCTCCTTGAAGCTCCAATGGACTTTGTGGTGGAGTTGTCTCCTGTGCACGTGCTTCTTCTGAAACTTGAGCGAGAAATTGGCTGGAATTGCTCTGCTATTTTCTAGACATGAAATTTGGTCTAAATAGCTATAAAATAGGTGAAAATCGACTTGAAACCAGCAAAGGAGTGGTCTAAAATAGCCTAAAAGTGGCTTAAAATGTCCTAAAATCAGTTTGAAACGAAGTAAAATCGGTCTAAAATCGCCGAAAATTGGCTTTAATTGGCCTAAAATTGATCTAAAACGGCTTAAAACCAGTCTAAAATGACCTAAAATCAGTCTGAAATGTCGTAAAATCGGTCTAAAGCGCCTAATTTAGGTCAAGGTAGACCTATTTTCGATCTGAAATAGCCTGAAATCAGCTTCAAATTGGGCAAAAAAACCTGCTAAAGAGTCAAAAACAACGTGAAATTGGCCAAAATTGTCCTAGAACGCTCGTTAGTAGGTCAAATTCGTCTAAACAAGGTCCGAAATGGGCAAAAAGTGGCTCAAATTGTCCTAAAATAGATCTAAAATATCCAAAAATTGGTATAAAATGCTCTAAAAATGGCTCAAAATGACCGAAAATGAGACATTGGTCCATGATTGACCCATAATTGATCTAAAATCGCCTGAAAGTCAACTTTAAAATGGCCAAAAAATGACAAAGAGTCAAAAAATGGAACGTGAAAATGACCTGAATTGGTCTGAAACAGCTGGTAAAACGGCCTAAAATAGGCTAAAATTGTTCTAGAACGCTCGAAGTAGGTCAAAATCAGGACTTAAATTGTCTAAAATGGTCGAAAATCGGCTTTAAAATAGTATAAAATTGGTCTAAAAATGCCAAAAATGGCTAAAAATAACCTAAAATTGGCCTAACCGACTTAAAATTCTCGAAAAGTCGTCTAAAATCGCCAAACATCGGTCAAAATTTTTGGAAAAAGTGGCTTAAAATTATCTTAAATTGGTCTAAATTAGTCTGAAACGCCCTGAAATGGCCTAAAACTAGCCCTAGATATCTAAAAATCGATTCTAACATGTCTAAAAATGGCTGAAAATGACCTGAAATCAGCCTTAAATTGCACAAAAAAAAGTCGCAAATGACGTGAAAACGCCCCAAAATTGGTCTAAAAATGCCAAAAACGCTCAAAACAACCTGAAATTGGTTTAAAATAGCCGAAAACTGCTTGAATTGACCTAAATAACTCAAAATTAGTCAAAAATGAATTTCAGTTATGCCTCTGTCTGTATGTCTGTTCGTCCGGATGTCTAGTTCTTTATTTTTCGTTAATTTAGGTCGATTTTGAGACGGTTTTTCCCGATTTTCAGCGATTTTCATGCAAAAATCGCTTATTTTAACCAATTTTTTTTCGGATTCTCTGCATTTTTCTAGCCAAAATTCCGAACCTTTGACATGCATTATTTGCGGAACAGCAGCCGCTCTAGCCGCCTGTTGTTGTTGATCGTATGGCTGTTGAACATGGGAATTTCCCTGATATTCAGTCTGAACGAGCACACGATAGACCATATGGTCCGCCTGGACGTGCACATTCATCCCTTCAATCGAAGCGAACGCATTCGAGCAGCCCTTCCAGCCACAGTTCACCTGGAAATATCGATTTTTCGGCTGGAAATTTGACAAATTTTGGTGAAAAACTCACTTTTGCGAGCTCCATAGCTGTTTTTCTTCTGCTAGTTTGGTGGGTGTGATGTGTGGTGATATTACAAGGTTATTATGCTGAAAAATTCAAAATTCAACAAAAAAAGTCGGAAAAATCCGAAGATGCTGGAAGGAAATCGAGAAAAATGAGCAAAAAATATGTCGAATTTCACTTATTTTCCGCCGAAAAATTGAGAAAAAATGAGTTTTTTTTTTCTCGAAAATTTTGAATTTCCGCGAAATTTCAGTTACTCAGTTATTGATTTTCTCAAAAATCGCTTTCAAAAATCCAAAAAATCGAAAATTTTTTGGGCTTCTCTAATTAGGAATTCCGCTTCTGCCTGTATTTTCGTGGCGGGACCCATGGGAGAAAAAATTTTAATTTTTGGTCGGAAAAATCGATTTTCGATCGTTTTTCAGCGGGTTTTCGCAAAATTAAACCTTTTTCTATGATTTCTCAGCAAATTTTCATCGGAATTCAGCTCGAAATTTGCTAGAATATATTTTCTAACGCTTAAAAAGTTTTTAGCTGCAGTTTTTAGATTTTTAGCGAAATTTCGGGGTTTCTAGGTTCAAAACATTAAAAAATGAGTCGAATGGCCTTAATTGTCATGTAAAAGTCTTATAATTTAGGCAGAAATTGAATTTTTAAAGATACAATTTTTTAAACCGATTTTTCAGGCTTGTTTTGTAATTTTAACGTTAAAATTAGCTTAAAATTTTTAGCTTTTGAAAGTATAATTTTCCAGAAAAAATAGTCTAACATCCTCGTTCTTCGCAGGAATTTTCAGTTTTTAATTCCATTTTCGCCGACTGAAAAAGTTCTTGGACTACTGTAGTTGTGTGCAACTTGTCGTAGCGGTGTTTGCACACTCCCTGAAAATAGTGTGTAATTCAAGGAGACGCAGAGTTTTTCCAAATTTTTTAAATTAGTTAATTAATTTATTTATTCCAGCAAAAAAACTCGATTTTAACTTAAATTTTAAGCAATAAATTTAAGCAAAAATATGAAAAAAGAATGTGAAATGAGAACCAAGTTTGTCGGTTTTTACAAAAAAAAGCGGGAAAGAAATGGTTGGGGAGATTGGCAAAAAAAGCGGGAAAGGATTTTTTTTTGAAAAATAACAATTGATCTACAGAAAAAAGGTATTTAAATAAGCTGAAAATCGCAATTTTCAGGTTGGAAATTATCATAAAAATGGTAAAACTATGGAAGGGAAATAGGAAATATGACAAGATTTTTGTTGAATTTTGAAAAAAAAGAAAGTTCCAGAAGCTTTTGGGGCAAGGTGGTAGAATTATTTCTGTCCAGGAATAGCTGAAAATAGGAAAATTAACTTTTTTTTTGAGATTTTTGAAAATTTAGAATTTCGAGTTTCCATAAAATTTCAAATTTTGGAATTTTTAAGATTTCAAAATCCCAAAAAGTCGAAAATAAACCCAAAAATTTGGAACTTTCTTTAAAATCAGGAATTTTCAGGAATCCCAAAAAATCCGAAAATTTTAAAAATCTCTTAAATTCGAAAAAATTGTATTTTTGAGATTTTGAAAAATTTACGATTTTTAGGATTTTTAAAAATTCCGGATTTTTTAGATTTTCAGAAAGTTTTTTTTTTTGATTTTTGAATTTTTTAAATTTTTGTGAAATTTCGAATTTTCTCAAATAATTTGTCAGACTCAAAGTTTCGAAAGTTTTCAGAAATCCAAAAAATTCGCAATTTTCAGAAATTACTGAAAATCTCAAAATTTAAAAATCCAAAAAATTAGAATAGTTCAAAAATCCCATAAGTTCTAAAAATTAAACATTTTCAACAATCCCAAAAATCCGACTTTTTGAAACTTTAAAACATTTCAAATCTTTGAGGATCCCCTATAAATTTTCAGAAAACTCAGAAATTCAAAATTTTAAACAATCTCAAAAATTCGAAAATCTCTAAAAAGCGAAAATTTAAAAAATTTCGTAAATCTAAAAATTTCGTATAAATCCTGAAATTTCGAATTTTTGAAAATCCCATAAAATTCGAAATTTTCAAAATATCTCAAAAATTATGAAAATTTCAAAAATCGCGATCTCAAAAATTTGAAGATTGTAAAGAAATCAAAAAAGTTAGAAACTTGCAAAAATTCGAAAATTCCGAAAATCTCAAAATTTCTCAAAATCAGAAAAAATCCAACATTTCAGAAATCTCAAAAACTGAAAAAAATCTGAAAACTAACCATAACCGGGACCTCTCTTCTTCTTCTTATTCTTCTTATTATTCTTTCCCTTTTTAATAGCCGTCGAAGTTTCTGGAATTCCTTGGGCCTCCATTGAATTCATCGATTCCCCATCATCAGAATCCGGATCCTTCATTTCAAAAATTCCCAATGTTTCGAAATTTCGAATTTTCAAAGCTTCGAAATCCTCATCCATTTCCAATTCTTGCTCCTTCCAGTCTTGCCCAAGTTCTGCCGCCAAATTCAAATTCCTCTGAATTTCTCCGTTTTTGAATTTCGGCAAGATCGTGGCCACGTGGATTATGTCTTCTGAATCATTGGAGTTCGATGGTTTTTGAGCTGCTTGGGCAGGCTTCTGGACGGGTACTGTAGTTGGTTTTTCCGGTTCGTCGTGTTTGATGAGCAATCGTTTGACCGGATTTCCAGCAATTGCGACGTACTTGTTTCTGGAAAATGAAAACGATTTTTTGGGTTTTTAGAAAATTTGAATTTTTGAGATTTTTCCGAAATTTTCAAAATATTGGGATTTCTCAAAATTTCCCATTTTTAGGATTCTTGAAATTTTTAGAATTTTAGACTTTTTGAGATTCTAAAGATTTCTGAAAATCTCAAAATTTTAGGATTTCATGTTTTTGTTTAATTTCGAATATTTAGGATCTTCGAAATTTCGAATTCTTGAGATTTTTAAAAAATTCGAATTTTCGGGATTTTTGTTTGAAATTTCGGGATTTTCAAAATATTCGATTTCTTTAGGATTTTCAAAAGTGGTGAATTTTCGAGGGGTTTTTTAATTTTTTTTTTACAATTTTCAAAAAATCCAAATTTTTCGAAAATTTCGATTTTTAATTTTTCTGGAAATCGCACAATTTCTTTTGTGAATATTCTAGTTTTGAGATTTTTTCAACTTTCAAATTCCATCTTATAGGCCAAAACTGAAAATGGCTCAAAGTCTCACAGAAAAAAGGTATTTTCAGCCTATTCCAGATACCGTATTTCCTCTAATTCGGGGGACACCCAAACGGTCAACTTTGAGCTCAATTATCTCATTTCCTGTGACAGATATCAAAAATTTGTCAACTAGTAAAATAT